ACCACCTCTGTCAAATAGGCTTAAGCTCAATCCTTGTAATAAGTATTGTAATTCTTTTCGAATACAATAAATTATCTATCTATCTATCTACCATAAAAACGTACCAAAATGTAATAAAAATCAATTGTTGTAACGCTCTAAAATCATAATTAACTATTCTTCAATTTTAAAAAAATGCGAAATACTTACCTGTAGCCTTCAACTTTGTTCATGAAAAGTATAATACTGTTGATTTATAATATCAAAGGGCCTTTTAGTTTTTTTTGCATAATTTTGTAAAAACATATAATGATATATTAGGATGATGATGATTATAAGAATAATAAAATAAAACTCAACCAAAATGAAGTTTCTGCTTTTTTTTTCAAATAGTAAAATTTCACGGAGCTGCAACTCATTTTGTTTTCTTCAACTTCTGGTACTCTGGTACTAGTAGTGGTGGGGGACGTTTCCACGTCAGCAACTAGTCCCCAATGGGACCTTTTTGCAAACCCCAAGTGTTTTCAATGACTGATGTGGTTCGCTCAAGAGAGCTGGCTAACATCCTTTTCAGGCACCGCCCATCAGCTCTCTTTTTCAGAGTTTTTCAGCTGTGTTTTGTAGGCTAGTAATGTACTCACTACCATATACGCAGTGGCTGGCCTGCTAACTATCCTCGTTAACCCCCGAGACCGAGGTCTACTTAAGCAGCTGGCCCGCTCTCACGCTCAGCTGGTAGTTTTCCACACCCACCTATACATACACCGTCCTACTTCTTCTCTGATGCTCACAACCACATCATCATATCTTTCTGCGTGTTCTGTGTAGGCTTTGTTACTAACTCCATGCGCCACTTTAGGAGCAGCACTGTTAATTGGAACGCAACAGCGAATCGTGCAGGACTATCCCCAGCCGATGCTCCGAAACTTCACAATATTCAATTCGTAAATAAAATATTGAAAAAAAGTTCCTTGCCCGTGCTGGGAATCGAACCCACGACCTTGCGGTCTGTCTGTATAGAGCAAGTTTTGTCGTGAAATTTGCAGCCGGCTCTCCTACTATTTAGAAGGGTGCATTTTAGAGAAATTATATTCAGAGAATTTGTATTTCAATAATGTTCCCATCGCCACTTTTACGTTTTTTACAGATTTCCCTTTCGATTCATGTTCACCTCCGCAACTAGCGTTGAATGGAAGCGAAACAGAAGAAGGCGAAACTCGGATCAAGAAGGATTATTCACATATTCGAGAAGTGAAATTCTCTGGTTCCATAGGACCGCTTGGAGAACAGCGACTATGCAAAATCAAATGCATTGCTGGACAATGGGTGGGACCCTTATGTGTGGACCAACAAGGTTAGCAAATATCTATGTAGAATCAGTCCAAACCAAAACATATGTACTTTCGCATGCAAAGTAACCCGCACTGGGTGGACTATGAGATGTATGTAGGAAAATGATGAAAAGATAATTCGGAAAAAACTCTGACAGTAGTAGGACAGGATGATTTCTGATCCGGGTGTCCACGAGAATCAGATCACTTTCGATAGGTTCAAGGGGGAATTTTGAAATTTCCAGTACAAAGTAGTAAGCATACACATCGAATTTGGCATTTGCTGATGCCATTTTAATTATTGCATCATCTATACACCGTGTCCCAGCTGAAATGTCCCCCCCTGTGAAAAATCAACCGCAAGATCGAATTACTTGAAATTTGGTCACCTAGTACATTTGATGATACTTACTCGAAATCTGCTATTGAATAAATCGTAGGTATACAGGGTCACACCAAAGTGCACCTAAACTTTTCTATTTTGATAGGGACACCCAGTATATTATTCCATATTCAAGTAGAGTTCATTATTACAAATTCAACAATGCCAAGTTTGATGGGATTTTTTCAAACGACTACGAAGATATGGCAAAAAATAAAAACTATTCAATAAAAATTCATATGTTCAGATTTTGTCAATATAGCACGATTGAAATCGAATGAAAAGTAGATAATTCAAACCTCAACTGCTCAATATGTCGTCTTTTCTGCTGAAAACATTTCCTAGCTCCTTTGATAACGTTCATTGTGACCCTATATGTATCGCGTTGCGATCAATTTGTGCGCATTAATTTGTGATTTTCTCTTCCATTTCTTCCATATTCACAATTGGCGATTCATAAACCTCTGTTGTTTCAAGTAGCCCCAAAAATAAAAATCAAGTAGGGTGAGGTCTGGCGACCGAGCTGGCCACACTGAGAGAAACTGGATATTAAAAATATCTACCAGCTCTGATTGTAATAACCTTTATAAGGAAATCTCCTATTCCTGATCATTTTATTATTATAACAGTATTCTCCTCATTCTGTAATTATAAAAATCGATTTCTTAAATCATTCGTAATACCCTTGAATGGACATTTGCTACCATCATAACGCAGATGTGTTATGACATTATGAGAATTTTATAAATTCCAGTCTATTCAGATTTTTTATTGACATAGCTCGTCTTGTGAATTATGCTCATTGGCGAATTCAGATAATGTTTGTCCCAATAATCATAGCTGTTTGGGGTTCTAGCATTGTACGTTGACGAATAACTCTAGCAATTCACATGTATGACGGTTATTAGGCAATCATTCGACAATCGTAATTCGGCTCAGTTCGCTCTAGTGTTTCATAAAGATACAGATCGCGTTCATTTCTCTGTTCTCGGTCATGGGTGCCCGTGTTCAATTATTGTTCAATGGTTTCGATCGTCCGAATCGAAAGAGCCGTGTCTTGTTGGTGAATGTCTGTGATGTAGCAAAGTTTTGTTTTAGTGCTGGCTGTGAACCGATCTGTGGAATACACCGTGCATTGCATTATTGCAATGAAAAAAGTATTCTCCATACCCACTTTTCAAGGCCTGAAATTGGTTTATTTCAAAAACAAAATGATCGATGAGATTCTGAATCAAAATATCTGGGTTTCTGTGAGGGAAGTTTTATTGACAATTCTCATCATAACTCCGAAGGAAGGGTAAATATTTTCAACTTCTCATTTCTTAATAAATTCGTCAGTAATGCATATAGATGATATTTCTCCGAACAAATCAATGAGTAATGTCAAAAAACTTCCACAGATACCCCAATATTTCAATTCAGAGACTAAACGTATTTTTTTGTTTTTTTGAAAACAATAACTTTGGATCATGAAAAGTGATAGTGTGGATAGGATATTTATTTTCATTGCAGTAATTCAAAGCACGGTTTCATAATGCATACCATCGAATAATGTTGATAACCTTATTACCACTGTTTGATGGATATACTAGAGTAGACAAATATTGGGATAACTGTTGAAAATGTGCTACATTACAATAGCATGTCGAAATGTCAGGTTTCATGCAGATATCAGATAACTATAATAAAATGAGACGAATTACTGCGTTACCTCAAGATGGTTGTGCCAGTAATAAAAACATGCTGTTTTATGTCGATAGTCTAATAACCACTGTAGAGTGGAGAGTTACTGCAACATTTTATGGGAATAATTCCTATTCGACATTCTGTGTTATCATAGAAACTAGAACAAGTTGTAGTTATTCAGCAGCGGTGTTTTTATACAAGTTTGCAAATTGAATAAGCAGCCATAACTACAAGTCACCTGAAAATTCACTTCATCTATGGTAGCACATGAACACATCTGTCCCCTATTTATTGCAGATATCGTAATAACGGTTATTAGATTTCCAATTATGATAACTCAAGTTTTCTCTCAGTGCAGTTGCTATCACCATCGATACAATTGGTGGTTATTCGATTTTTCATTGAATCGTTTTATTTTTTGCCATAAGGAAAGTTCAGGTACACTTCGGTGTGACCCTGTATACCTACGATTTATTCAATAGCATATTCCGAGCGAGCATCATCAAATATACTGGATGACGAAATTTCAAGTCATTCGATCTTGCGGTTGATTATTCACAGGGGGGGACATTTTGGCTGGGACACGGTGTATAGTCACCTGAACCTGATCGGAACACCGTGTATTTTTACATATTTAGATTCAGGAGAGCAGTTCACATTTCCTCTTGGATCACACGAACAGGAATTCTGTGATTCTCTTTTATGCTCGTGGAATATCGTACGGAGAGAAGACATGGATAGTTATTGAAATTTGTATGCGTACTTAGAATCTTTTTCTGACCGAAATTACAAATGTGTCAAATCTTATAATTGAAAATGTTCAATAGAGAATACTTGTTTATTCTTTGATGAACAATTATTGGATATAGATCACCTAGGTACTCGCTTGCACACCCTGTCTGTGTACTTTATTGAAATCACGATCATTTTTCTATTGTTTCTCGTGCATACTCAAGTTTCTTTTCAAATTTTATTAGTTATACTTTTATTGCCATGTATGGTCCATTTGCCCTTTGTCAGAACTAGAAATAATCAATTATTAGGTACCTACCTGAATCTTTTTGTTCCATAAATCACAAATTAAACTTGTTCAAATTCACTTGTATAGGATTTGATGAACTCGCTGAATCTTGCGCACAAAGGGCACACATGATTTTACTCTTTCCAAAAAACGATTTTGTTCGTTTATTACTTGCTTCTCAAGCTCCTCTTTAAATCCGCTAATTTGAGTCACACTTTAATTTGTATGTATTGTTTATTGGTCCATCTTCAGAACAAAAAATAATTAATAATTTTCAAATGTAAATGTTGCCAATGTTGGGTTAGTGTATTGTACGAGTGTTTCTCTGATACTGTTCGGGAAACATGACGTGATTTCAGAAAATTCCCTGAGAATATTATCGTTTTTGGAATGTTTACAATTTCAATGGATTTCTTGAAGAATCCAAACAGAGTAAATTCAAAATGCCGATAGGTAATGGGTATAATACCATGCCGTGCTTGCCTATTCGTTTTCTGATTTCATGAACTTGATGCTGGTTCATTGCATCACTCTATAAATCTAGTTACGCATACATATAGATCGTCAGAAATTATTATGTTATGGTATTTCTTCTGATTTCAGATAACGGTCGATTTCAGCCTTTATTTAGGAATTGCAAACTTGAGTACATAAATCCCCATTTGATGGTAAATTTCCGGAATGTTACAATCTACGTAAGTAAAAAATAATTATAAACGCCAATCCAATTCATACAAAGAATGGTAAATACAAATATATGACCTGAATTAGAGGGAAACATTGGTACATTGGGATAAAATCAATTGATAGAAATTGGTGTCCTTTCTTTTTCGATATACGAGAAGATGAAAATGTAAGAATATTTTCTCAAAAAATGAACACTACTTGGGACATTTTGAGAGAATATTTTGAAGAATCACGAAAAAAAAGGCTCCATGGGGATAGATGTTGGATGATTTCGACCAAGAAATTGAAAAATCCGGAAAATCGAATTCGAAGGGCTTCTTTTTTTTGTATAACCAAGTTGTCTTTGCCACTTCAAAAAATTTGTTGTGCCAGTTACTCGAGGAACCGGTGGACATATTATGTAGGTACTAGACAAGGAGGGAGTTCAGAGGGCCTCTTTTTGAGTAAAAAAAAAATGGAATTTATCAAGTTGCAGACATTTTTTTAATGTGTAACCCATTTCACATTTCTAGTGAGTTTTTTGTTCTCATGCATCCCTTATATATATGAAAAAATACTAGTTGAAATAAAAAATCTCAGAGTTGTCCTAAAAACAATCAAAAAATTTACTCAAAATTAGATTTTTCTTAGAGCTTTGACCTTGAATAACCCAGAGAAGATTGATCAGGACAACATTTTTGTAGCAACTGATGTTGAAGAGAATCTCGAACTCGATTCTCAGGATTTTTCAATTTCTTGGTCGAATTCACGCTCATCCATCCCCCGATCATCACCGGCATTAGTTAGCACCAGATTCGGGCTTGGACATCCCGAAAAACCACGTAAAGTCCTTTACACTCAATTTTCCTGGAATCTTCAGTTTTCACTTCCTATCAGATAAACTAGAGAAATTGGACTTACTATAGGAGAATGGCATACGAAATCACATAATCTTGTACATATAGGTCAATGACGTCAAGTGACTTTCGAATACGGCTAAATTTGCCCACCCGCAAATTGTATGCAAATGTCGAAACATTGATTGATGGGTCAAAATGAAGGGTTCAACCCAACGGCATCGTCCACCAATATTCTAATAAATAATCTCTCCGTGTCGGTTGAAGGTAACTTATGCTGGCCCGTATGTCGCCCTTCGGGACCAACCTAGACGTATGCGAATCGGCTAGCGCCCAGTTAAATTAGCGAGATGTGCGTAGTTCGGTCACGATGTTTTTCCATCAAACGTGGTCGGCTTCACTCGATTTGTAGTAGACTGGGTCTGGTCGTTACCACCGATACAACAAGGCCTGCATGCTCCGTGGGTGACGTCACTTAGTCAGGCCTAACCAGCGGCTCGAAACGACAAGCGCTTATAGCGCTATAAGGCGACCGCGTATTTCGATTTTAGTTTTAGATCACCATTGAGCCGATTTTGCTGTTTTTTGAAGGGCTTCCGGTTAAAAAAGGATGCCAGTCGGCAACTGAGCCCTTCTTCGCACCCCATTCGATTTTATTATGGAAAAACGAAGTTTCAAAGCAAAAACCAGGATAAAACACAAATATCCACCTACAGCAACCCATTCGAATTAAATATATTGGCAAAAATTTTGGTGAAGGTAAACTTCACACCTACTTATACAGGGCCCGCAGAACATAAACTTATCGTGAGATTGATCGAAAGAAAATTGTGGAAAATGTATTTTATTTTGATTGACATGCCGTTTGTTACAATTACCTATATTTATCTTGGAGAATTCCTATTACCTGAAAAAATAACCAGTGAGTGTTTTCAATTTTCGGTTGTTGGATTTTTCACCCAAGTATATCGTTACACTTGAAACCGTAATTTTCAAGGGTAAAACTGCATTTATCATGCGATGGTTTTTTTTTTGAAAATTTTTTTCGGTACTCACGTATTTTTGTCTGATAAACCGAATTTTATAATGAAAATTTGAACAAACCACCATTTATTGAGATATTTCAAGAGAAAGTTCGAAATTTCGCCTTCTTTCTCCCCTTGTGTTGGAGGCATTTGAAGCTACTTCCTCTTATTTTGTCATTGGACACTTTATATACTCATGATGTACTTCGATGGCACATTTTTATATAGAAAATTCAACAGGAAATATGATTTTTATGGCGAGTTTTTCATATTTAGTGAACAAGCATTCCAGATGACGACCATTTAATCAATAGTCAATCAAAATACGAGATGTCAAATGTCAATAGATTTTGCTTTCGAATGACATTACAATTACACACGCCATTATTTTATATGATATTCTTCCTTCTTTTCAGTAAATATGGATTAATCTCAAGAAAATCATATTTATAGTTGAATTATATATAAATTGTCCAATATGATGAAAAAAGAAGGGAAATTTGTTCTAAATGCCATCCAGAAGACAGGTGAAAAAGAAGGTGAAATTTGGAACTTTTCAGTCACATATCTTCATGATAAATATCATGATAAATGCAGTTTTACCTTTTTTGAGTAGAGTCGTGTTTGTAGTTCATGTTAATATGATAGTTGCAATTTGATCATTGGAATGAATTCTGCATTCATTGCCACGAGGCAAATGACCGTTTTCAGAAAGAAATTTGAGAGTGAGAATTAAAAATGCCCGTTTATTATGAACATTCAAGAAAATTTCCTCGAATTCAGAGATGATTTTGTTGACTATAATATACGAATACAAAACTAACTGCACAATCAAAGCTTTTCTATTTTTCCTCTACTTATACTTTTTATGAGAGAGTAATTGTCTTCTATTATTAATTCATCATTATATATTAAGCTCTGTTTACTACTGAACTAAGATACTTAGATGGAGTAAAATCCTCGCGGTGAATTGCATATACTTCCCCACATTTTCGATAGCTCCTCGTCCAACGGGAAACTAAAAGCATGAACTTTTGAACCACCCACATAATTCCCCCGACATAAGGGAACACAACACTTGAAAGGCATTGTTATTTCGCCGATCACAACACAAAATATTTCACAAAACAGTAATTTTTCCGCCAATTATTTTGATGAATAAACAACAAAAGAATTCGGGACCGTTTCAAAAACATACGTGAATCACCGATGAATTAACACGAACTGACGCGTTAGTCGACAAGCGATAAAATAAAACACTGGCCTCACTTGGCGACGTCACGAGCTGTTTACGTCAGAGTCTGCTGGCCTTGTTGTATCGGTGGTAACGGTCTGGTCCTACTCTCCTGTCCGTCGCAACCTAGTGACCATTTCTCGACATTTTCAGTACCGCTATTCTCAGAGATTGCAACTTCAGTCCATATATTTCAAGCTGCAACTTTGTCTTAATTTCTTTTTTTTTCTGAGTGATGCATTGGGTAGAAATCTTGTATTGTTGAGACGCAATCTGTTCTCGCTGAGCCGTGATTTTTTTCTTCCTGAGCATCAGGGATTCCAGCCAGAATCTCTTCCTGTTAAGCTAACACCTCCTTCTGAGTCGATATATCTTCCCGTTGAGCCGATAGGCCGCTCACCCTAGACAAATAATAGGACGAAATTGGAATTAAGTCGCACATTCCTTTTTATTCTGAATGTTGTAAGGCTATGCCCCAATAGTCTAAAACCAAGTTTGCAGCTTCGAAAAACATAGTCTGAAAGTGTGAGGCTCGAAAAACAGTTTTGTTTTGAAGTTTTCGACTCTTAGGAAATAAGTTTTGAGGTTTGCTAACTCTAATTGCTCTAATCTTGGTATCTAACTTTTTGAAATTTATTTTCCAACTCTCTATTTTTTCTCCTATTTCTTTCACCACCCATTTTCAATGGTAAACCTTGAATTTTTCAATATTCCTGCTCTAAATTTCCGATCAAATATTCTTCATTTGAATGCTATTTGAAATAAATTTTCACCTTACAGAGATAATAAAAATATTTGTTGGCTGAACCACAGTTTAAGGAAGTGGCTGAACCTATATTTCACGCTGTCCGCTTCATGTTTTCTTTCTATTATTTCCCGATATTCTAGAAGGGTGATAAACTTGACCCTATAAACTATCGACCAATAAGTCTCACCACGATATGGAAAATATAATAGCAAATGTTCTTCTCAGTTTCCTTCTCTTGACGGACTGACAACCAACACAGATTTTTACCTGGTCGTTCCACTGGAACAAATATATTCGAATGTCTTCATTATTGGACAAGTCTCGTTGATCAAGGGCAGCCAATAGATATTACATACTTGGACTTCTCGAGGGAGTTTGATCAAGTACCACAAAGAAGACTACTTCTGATGCTGGAACATATTGGTATTCGTGAAATGATTCTCAAATGTATAGAAGGGTTTCTCAGTAACAGAATCTTCAAGGTCCGAGTGGGTGACTCTTATTCCAGCCAGCATAATGTTCTTCCTGGGGTTCCCCAGAGGTCTGTCTTGAGCCCCATTCTTTTCCTTTTATATAGGTACATCAGACATACCATCAATTCTGCACTGCACCCACTAGCTCCTTCTATGCCGATGACATGAAACTATTTCACAACCCTCTTGATGATCTGAACCGCTTCCGCAATCCGACTTGGTACTTTTGGAAGATGGGTGTAATGACTGGTTAATCCTATACTCAGCCCTGTCGTACATTTCTGCATATTATTGGTCGATATCACATTGGCAACGTACAAATCCAATTACTGGAATCACAAACAGCTAGACCTCGGTGTGAGGTGTGACAATAGCCAATTCGTTGACTTGGTCGAAACATATTGCCAATATTATAAAAAGAGTGAGGGTTGCTGGGCTGTGTGCACGTGAATATATACTTACAAAATAAGGGAAGATTTGTATTTTGTGCAAAATAATTCATTCAATATTCGTAGCAGAGCGCTTTCAGTGCGTACCTTAACAAAATGTAATCCATATTTTACCCCATTTTGGGAAACATTATTTTAATTTGTTTGTAACGTATTTTACCTCAGTGTCGTTAGTTTCAAACTGGACCAAAGATATTTTTATGGACGAATTTTCCATTTAACCTGACGAGTAAGTAACCTCACTTTTATCATTTTCCAAATTCATATTTAACAATATCAAATTTCGATTTTATATGTCTTTTTCGAATCAAAAGTTCATCAGAAATCAACAAGTCACCAATTTATTTTTTAATTTTTACTTTTTCAATATTAAACAAATTTACAATTTTTTTTTTTCAAAAACAAATTTTTCCACAATATTTTTTTGAGAATTTTTTCGAAAATTTTTCGAAGTTTCAACTCCAATTTCTTTCGAATAGCTAAAAGCAGATTACTTACTTACAGGTACGCACTGATGATGACTTAACAGTCGAAAGCGCTCTGCTACGAATATTGAATAAATTATTTTGCACGAAATACAAATCTTCCCTTCTTTCGTATTATAAAAAGAGCCAACTAAACTGCCTACATTGTGAGAAATTATTTTCAATCCCTGGACACTAGACTATTTATACAACTTTTTAAAAGTTTACTACGCCCTATTGTCGAAACCTTGTCAGAGATATTACATTACTTGATAATGTTCACCGGAAACTAACAAAATGAGTACCTACCTCAACTCTATACCAACTGGAACGAATCACATCACTAAATTTGCCAACCATGAAAAAAAGAACGAAACGTAAAAACCTCATTCAATGCTACAGAGTCCTCAGAAACATCGTTTCTGTAGATCTGATCCATATCTGCTTCCTGAACGCCGATGAAAGACTTCGTGACCGTATCGTTTGATACTGAAGCTCGCCAAGAAAAAAATCAGAACCTCTACAAGACAGTATTTTTTTCTCCAATATAGTTTCTTACGAATGGAACTCTCTTACTGATGATATAGTTACGGCTCCATCCATAAACGCCAGACTCGACAATTACATCAATAGTAGTTCGACTTTGAGTAGGTTTCGCGTGCGTGTGAGTTATAGTGCAATGAGAGTGAAATCAGACAATATAATGACATGCTTGGTTTCTTTTTATCAATTCAGCTTACCTTCTTAAAGCTCAGTTTTATTATGTTGGTACAGCAAATCTAATAGCCATCAGGTTTCATTTCTAGAAGAATTTAATTTTTGGCTTTAGTAACATTTCAAGATAACAATGGTGCTAATGGGCCTTCAGGTTTGATCAAGAGCATGAATTGAAACTATATAAATACACTGAAACTTTATTCTTCACAAAGTTCATCGTAGGATGAGTATTAGAGTCGTTATTTTGCTCAGGGAGAGGACCAAAATTGCAATTGTCAACTTTTGAAAATTAAGAAACTTTTTGAAGTCCTGTATTTTGGGATGTTCCGGACCCACGATAATGAAATTAGACTCCAATTGTCGGGAATTCATAGAGCTTCAAAAAAGTTAGAATTTAGTTTTCCATCAGGAACCCTCCTTTTACGACTTTTGGGCTGAAAACCGAAATTGGTCGAGAAATTTCGAGGTTTTTCGAGCATCACAATGCTAGCATAGGTCTTTCGAAGCTGCAAACTTGGTTTTATACTATTGGAACATAGCCTAACAACATGCAAAAATAGGGATGTGCGAATTAATGCGAACGGGTGTCTAAAGGCAGCGGCCTTGTTGAGCAGATATCTGAGAGGCTATCTGTTCTTCGGAATACTACTTTTGGCAAAGCTTTGCCGTCCTATTGCTGAGCTGAAATCTGCGCCAGAACCTCTTCTTGCTGAAATATCTGAGGTGCAATCTTCTCCTGCTGAGCTTCCATATCCCGTGGCTGAGCTGCTATTTCCTAATGTTATACAGTGATCTGGGCCGCTATTTTATCTTGCTGAGCCAACATCTCATTCTGCTGGGCCGTCATTTGGTCCACAATATCTTTTCACTGAGCTGCCAATTGTTACGAGATCTTCCCCTGCTGTGCCGACATCTAGTCTACAATCCTCTCCTGCTGAGCCGTCATCTGATCCGACATGTCATGACGCTGAGCGGTTCCTCAAATGTGTACGTTTCTGCGACACAATCGACGTTTACCATTATATGCTCATTAGGACGATTCTTAAGCGTCGCTTGCATCTCTGTTATGTTAAGGTCCCTCTCCTTCAACTCCCGTTTCAAGTCCTCTATTTTCAACTCGTTTGAATTCTTCATTGTCACAGTCTGTTCAGTTCACACGAATATCCCCCTTCTGACACCAGTTGTTAGGTTATTTGTGGGCAGAAGTAAGCTCTGACACTGAATGACTGACTGACTGTTACTGTGCGAGCAGATCCTTTTAGTTACCTTGGCATGCCTTGGCTTCCTGATGATTCTATCGTATTCAATACCCATCTGAACGTTCTTTGGACATTCTTTCTGATAGTTCCATCGATTGTTTCGAGATATTTCTAGAATTTTCCATCGTCTCAATACTTATATTGGGTGTTGATAAATATGCTGGTATATTTTGGAATCATTGGAATATTCGATAACAACATGGAACGCATGTTAGAGGAAGATCGTTGTAGTCTTGCCTACTTAATGATGTTCCAGCCTCTCCCAGGAAAATATCGTCATAATAATACACTATACAGTGAATTCCACATATAATCTTTAACAATAAGCGATATCTCGGTCATTTTAAAAAATGAAGAGATGAATCAGAAACGACTTTGAATTCTATCAATTAGTCTCTTTCATCTGACAACCTTCAATTTTTTTTCTTTTTCAATATTTAATATATCATCCTCAACACTTATTTCCGTTTAATTTTCATGAGGAAATTTCTTGTTGTTTGGAAGATCGGGAATATAATAATTTGGGAATATTTGATCCACCTTATATATGTATAAGGATTTCAACTTTGCTGACAATGGGCATTGGCACCTTTGACTAGAAATAGTTATTTATTATACAAGGGAAAAAAGTAGTAGATTTTAGCTCCAGGTTGTGTTGTCTCCCGACGCGTAGCGGAGGGAGACAAAAAACCGTGAGCTAAAATCTTATATTTTTCCCGTGTATAATACACTATTTTTTTCTGTGACAGAAAAAAGGACGAATCAATATTGAGAAGATATTACATTATTTCGAAATCTGAAAATTATCGACGTGAAATTTCAAGTTTTTAACAGTAGGGACACCTGCGTTTTATAGGCATCTTTATCATTCTTTTGAAGTAATCAAATATCTGATGTCACTTTCTGTCAGTTCAATTCTGTGATTTGATTTTAAAAAATTGCGAATTCAGTAGTTGTTTAGTAATATACGAAACCGCGAAGTCGAATGGAAGATAAAAGGACTTGCAGTTCTTTCTTGGAGACGGTATTATTGACTCATTTTTCGGAACTATAGCACAACAAAAGCCATTAACAGAGTATATATATGTGATATATAACCGGGAAAAAAGTACTCACTTTTTTCCCACGGGAAAAAAGTAATTTATGAAAAGTGACATTTTATAACCTGCCAACAGAGATGAAATGCCAAACTTTTTTCCCGTCACAGAAAAAAAGTACTTATGATTTTCATCTCCATGAGTTCGTACTCATAGGCTGAAGATAGACTTTTCTATCCAGAACATATTTCTCAATATCTGGTTATACATCATCAAAGTAGTTCGGATATGACTTCTAGCATGCTTAATTCCTTTTACACCTACTACATATCAGTACTCATGCAGCGGTAAAGAATCCTACCTTAATTTTTTCAGCTTAAAATAAATGTGAAACAGTGAGTATAGTATATCTTTGTGAACATTTCTTCCACTAGAGAAACGTAATTAAAATAAGAGGTATAAATCATACCATTGTTTTCAAATTGTTTTGTAGATTCAATTTTGGTGAATTAAAAAAAAAGCTAAGGATGAGTTCTTGAGGGTTCCAATGGTTCAATAAGAATGAGTTTTCCATCTCTTAAAATAATAATAGAGATTACTTTTGCTACATTATTGTGGGAGACTCTGTAAAAACTGATTGAATTTTGTGTTTCTATAGAAGAAATTTTTGAATACTTAGGGGTGTTATGTTTCTAGTCTCCTGGATGGACATTTCCTCATGGAGCGAAACTTCACACCAGATGTTCAGAATTGGGCATGTATAAACTTCTCGGTACTGCGACTCCCCAATGCCAGAATGGACAATGGTCCTCAAGATTGCCTTCTTGTGTACCGACCACACTTTTAACAAACTTTACGGGTAAGTTGGTAACCACCTATACTGAAATAGTTGTCAATATACTGAAATTATAATGTTGAGCATCTTCTTCATCTTCATATGTTATTGAACTAAAGAGATGACGTTCTCTAGTCACAATGAAATAACTATATATGAACCTCTAGGTGTCTTATACGTATACAGAGTGTCCTAAAAACAAAAATAATTCGACTTTTTCGATGTCGTTTTTTTGTTTTTGGCCCCCATCTTCGATCCAAAATTGAAATTTTCAACTTATTTTTGTACATAACGGATTAAAATCTTTTGAGGAGAACAAAACAAAAAACAATTTTCACATTATCAATGAAAAGGCGTTAAGTACTAACGGCAGATAACGATATAGTAGAGCCGCCACAAAGGCTAATCTCACGAAAGTTCAAAGACTAGCATGTGTTTGCTTTACTGGTGCAATGAGAACTTGTCCCACTGCCGCAATGAAGGTGAGTCTACACCTCTTCCAGTTGTTTTTCAGAAAGCATCAATTGTATTTCAGAATAGTCAATTGAATTCCAGAAAGTGTTATTCAATTGACTATACATACTGAAATACAATTGATACTTTCTGAAATAGAAGTGACCATTCCGAATTACAATTGGCGATTTCTGGAATTGAATTGACGCTTTCTGAAATACAACTTAAAGAGGTGTTAGACCTCCCTCCTCTGGTGTTTTCAATATTTTTTATACGGTAAACTCATGGCAAAAAATCTCAAGAAAATATTCTGAGGTACCTATGCTACAGCCATATACTTCAAGGCCTATTCTCAATTTTTAGAAGTGATTTTATAGAATAACCAATTATAGATGTCATGATTGTATGGCAGTCAGTACGAATTCTATAATGTTTTTCTAATTCCATAGTTCACAAAGAAGCCACTTCATTGTTGATCTTTTGAACTAGGGATAATGGAAAAAATAATCATGTATCTCTCATTGAAATCACCGACAAAAGTTGATTATTTAGGTCCAATAAGTAAATACAATTTAATTTTTCGTTATTCCTTATTTCAGGGCATCACATTACCTATACAAATACCTACAAATTCTTTGTGTAGGATCAAGTCGGCCAGAGTCACTTTTGTCATTTATCAACAGTAAAAACACAAGAGCTTTTTTTTATCGGATGAATTTCTCTCATAACTAAAACATTTGCCGACCAGTAATTTTTCGAGAGAAACTGACATGAAAAAATTGCGAGACCGAAGTTCGAGTGTTTTTTGGCAAGATAAATCAACGTCAATATACAAATAAACAACAATAATGATTACCTTTATTGATGATTTCGTGTAAGTGGTAGTTTACGGAATTTTGTTTTTCTTATTTTTGAGGTTTCTTCAGAATTTGCCTAAAACGAGTCATCTCAATCAAACTTGACACGACAGAAATTTGAGTGACATCAGGCGCGACTACCTACTAGATCAAAAGAACATGCAGTTTATCAGCGATAAAAAAGGTGCATCCAACATCGAATTCATTATCTCACAAGTAAAAAAAAACTTTGCGAACCATGAATTTTTCACAGTAGGTAACTTCTTCAATTAAAATTCCCGTGCTTACAATAAATCATTTATGGAGTTTTTTACAATACCGGGTGTCAACGAATCTATTAGTCAAGCCATAACTTCTAGAATATCAAGTTTACCAAAATGAGATTTGATATAGGTAAATGGTATGTGAAGAGGAAAGTTTTCGCAATTTTTTCACTTTTCGATCACTTCCAGTCACCGGAAATTACTCCAGTTGTGAATTCTTGAATGGAATACCCTCTATATTGTAATATTTCCGGATTTCTGAGGCAATTCTGGATATGATTGCGACATTTTTGAGAGTTTTAACGTCAACTCAATTTTTTTAGAGTCACCTTCAATATTGCATCTAGGTGGCCATGATTGGACGTAAATTAATCGAGGGACCTCAGGTGAAGCCAGAAAAGTACAATCACAAAGTTTTGATAAGTATGGCCATGATTGAACGTAAATTAATCGAGGGACCTCAGGTGAAGCCAGACAACTACAATCACAAAGTTTTGATAACTAGTATGATAGGTAGGACTTAGACATAGGTTGGCAAAATCAAATGTCGTGTCTATTATTTTTCGAATGGAGAACATTTCTTGACAAGCATCAGTATTCGCAATGTTTGACGAATCTATAACGACGATACTATAATTTATTTGCGATTGCATCAAAAATAAGAACATAAATTGAATTTTACTAAGCAGAATACTTGATTATCGAGAATCCCTACCCTTTTCCGGAACGAATTATGTTGCTTTAGGCCACCACACTCGCGCTTTGCGCTCCTGTGTTTACCGAACAACATAACTCGTTTCTCAAAATCGAAGGGATTTGTATTTAGATAATCAATACACTTGTTGTATTACATACAAAAACTTTCGAATATGTCACAATTACATTCCGAATCGTCTCAGGAATCCAAAAATTTACAATATACTGGGTGTTCCATTTGAAAATCAAAACTGAAACCATTTCCGGTGAAACCAAAAGTGATCGGGAGATGAAAAATATGTGAAAACTTTCCCCTTTAAATACAATTTCGATAAAGATTTCACATGCACATACCTATAGTGAGACAAATACTTATATGAAACATAAAAAAGAAGGCGCAATCCTTTTGATATTTTTTGCCGACGTTCCGAAGTCATCCACGAGTGTTAGGAACCAGGGTCGGGCTGAATTAGTTTACTCAGAAACAACAAAAAATAATGATTTCAGTAACCTGAATTATATTATCTGAATATGTATAGGTATCGTTTGTTTTCATGCCTGCTCGTAAGCTACTAAGTGATTAATGCAGTCAAAGAGAAACAACTGAAAATGTTTATAGTATCATGTTTTTATAAGACAGGACTCTCATAACCTTGTTACAGAACAAGAACTGAGGGATGCCAAATATTTGTGATCTATTTTCCTGAAGACCGATACATTGTATTTTCTTCATTGCTAAAATTAGAGCCCTCCTCACTATCAGCATCCAGATTTCTATATCTAATCTATCTAAAATTCTTAGAATTTTAAAACTTTATTCACGTTTTTATGCCAATCTTCAGTACTGATATTTTGCACTTCTGTGGTTATCAAAGATATAACTTTAGGGTCGAAATTTGGGAATATATTTTTTCTACGGATTCTTTCCTTCAATTGTCTCCTAATCGATTCTACAGGATTTAAAATAGAAATATATAGGGTCAATCTTAGAACCGTATAATAATTTTGTTTGGTAAACTTGTCTATGACATATATACTCTTTTGACCTCTTTAACCTTTCAAAACCTTGTGAAATTGGGCTTTGGTATATTTTTCTTAAAAGTTCGTTGACATCCCATCAAAATGAAATAGATTTAAATTTCAAAATACGCACTGTAAATCGAAAATGGCAGTCAAAAATAATAATTGGGATTATTGTTGCAATTTTAAATGAGGCAAATAAGATACAGAAGAGAATGAAATTGTGTTTCCTGATAGCAGTTCAGAGCCGTCGTACATTACCTTTCACGAATTACTTTTTATTTCGCACCAAAAAATCGGAACATTGTATTTTTGACCTTCTTGAAGCCAAATATACCAGAATTATTTACAGTTGAATGCTTATTGCTAACTATTTCATTGTGACTAGATTATAAAGAAACTTGACCTTCCGTAACTAGAAACCGTATCTTAGCTTTTTTTAGAGGATTCACCTCCATCGGTACTAATCAGGATACCTTCTGGTTCAGCCTCTGTCGAACCTGGTGGAGAACTAGCAGTTTTTCCAGGATCCACCGTACATTTTGAATGTATATTCTCAAGGAGATTGGGTTCCCCTGATTGGACGTGGACTTCCCCTCTCGGTCAATATCTTACAGGTCAGTAAGTCCCAGAGGAATGGTTGAGTTAGCATCACTCAATAACACAAAAAACTCACAAAATAGTTATTTTATATAATTTACCTACGGCCACTATAGAAAGTAGGCAAGAACACTCTCGATATACAGCCTCAGTAAGTATAGCTCTTTACGCACAGTAAGCACATCGCATGGAATTACTTTTCCATTCGTGCGTAATATGCTTCTTACAACACATATTACGTAATATACTATAATATTAAGGTCAATGGCAGCCCTTTTCGATTCTGGGGCACCGACTAATAGACCAATCTAGACCATCAATTCTATAAGGAAAAAGTTGAGCCACTCAGGAGATCGAACTAGTGAAATGGATTCATGCGCATGTTACACTCATGAACTCGAGGAACATAAGCGTATCGAAAGAAAAAAGTTCGGAGGGGTCTACCATAAAAGGTTATTAAACGGTACATAAAATAAGAAATGAATGAACTATGCAGTATTCAGGTCTCATAGCTTCCAATACTCAGATGAGAGCTCTATTTCAAAAACGGCGGATTTGCGTAATTATGGTTTCAATGTCTTGGACTTGCATCAGAAAGCTACTGTCTGATATCAAATAGTCTGAACATATTATTCCTGAGTGGCTAAAATCCAATGGTCTCCTAATAGCCTCAAACCTTTCGTTTCTCTTATCCTTAGGAATTCTAGAGGCATTATTTAATGAGTGAACTTTAAATCCAGAATATGAGCAGCTGAATGATTATACAAAACACGCATGATTTCATTCGATATGAAGACTTGCTCAACTGATTGAAGCAAATTAAAATATAAATGATTCATTATCCACAAACTCATCCATGAAAAGAAATACCTTTAGTATTATTAATCATGGAATTTTTACAGTAAAGAACAAACCACTTCATATTTACTAGGCTTGACGAAAATAGAACACCACTCAATTCTGATATTATTATTATTTTTATCAAGCCGACCACTGACATAAATAAAACACTCAAGATAACGCCATCCACCTTGCTGCCGCCTATGAACAAAATGGATTGATTTCGATATCATGTCAAAGTCATGAACGAAAGCTTGGAGGTTCTTGCTTGTTGAGCAGAAACGTTTCCAGGCGAGCAACCGACCCTACATTTTCGGGATGCTGCGATAGGAATACTAGCAGTCTAGATACAGTAATAAGTCGGTGTTCTGGGGACGTTACCTACGTCAAATTTAAAATATAAAAGAATATTAAAGAGAATGCATATGGACCTGTTTCAGTGAAACATTATTACATCATTATTTTAAAGTAATATAACCCACACATGTTCATTATCGCAAACCGTTTTCTGTTTTCTCCTCACAGAGCTCTGTACATTTCAAAAATAATTATTGAGATTCACGATTTTTCATAACATGAAGAACGCGGTACAGCGTGTGACGTCATATACCGCGATCAATCCAATGCAATTATATACGATACGACCTATATACCGGGTGTCCCATTTTAATCTTTATTTGGAAATTTCTCGAAATGTATGCATCTGACAAAAAAAATTGCCGAATAAAAGTTCTATGGTTTGGAGGGGGACGTCTGGTTATAAAACAAGTTTCACCCCCTGACCCCCAGGGGAGTGGGAAATGGAGGTAACATTGAAATCTTTAATGGAAACCCCTATTTTTTATTGCAGATTCTGGAAGAGCATTAAAAACTATGAAACTTTTATTCGGGAACTTCTTTTTAATTTTCACAAGATGGCGCTGCGATCGTAAAAAACAATATTTTACTATTTAGACATTTCAACCCCCTGAAGACGAGGAAGAGTGTAGGGTGTGATATTTTCCCAGACAAACGCCATTGGGGTGATATTCACACGACAAATTAACGCTAAACGAACTAAGTTACCTTGACACCTCTACATAGAAAAGAGAAAAATAAGCATGGTTCAGCAATTGAGGTATCATGTAGGTCAGACTAGAGCTGGTTTTAAGTGAGATTGACTACTTTATCAAGTGTTCGAAATGCCCTCCATTTTCTTGAATACACAAGTTCACTCGTTTTTCAAAATTCCGCACTGTCGCTTTCAACATAGCAGGCGTTATAGCCATGCACGCTCCTATAATTCTATCTTTCATATTCTCGCGTGTGGTTGGGGGTTCGCGAAACACAATGTTTTTGATGTAACCCCAAAGAAAGAAGTCTGGGGAAGTCAAGTCGGGTGATCTGGGTGGCCAGGGCACGGGTCCCCCACGACCAAGCCACTTTTGCGGGTATCACTCGTCAAGGAAATTTCGCACAATTCTAGCAAAATGTGGAGGCGCGCCATCTTGCTGAAACCACATACGGAGCGCCATCTTGTTGAAATAAAAAAGAAATTCCCGAATAAAAGCTTAATAGTTTTCAATGCTCTTCCAGAATCTGCAATAAAAAATAGGATTTTCCATTAAAGATTTCAATGTTACCTCCATTTCCCACTCCCCTGGGGGTCAGGGGGTGAAACTTGTTTTTCAACCAGACGTCCCCCTTCATACCATACAACTTTTATTCGGCATTTTTTTTTGTCAGATGCATACATTTCGAGAAATTTCCAAATAAAGATTAAAATGGGACACGTCATCGAGAGTGAGCTTTAGCGCTAAGTGAAGTTGATGAGAACATTACAAAAACTGAGTATGTGGTAGGTCTCGTCAATATAATAATGAAGATGATGGAAAGCCCTAATTTCGAGTGACAACGGGAAATGAAAAAACTCCACCGCCCCGCGTGAGAGTCGAACTCACAACCAACAGTTGAAGACCCATAATGTATCTACCTTAGTCGTTATCAAATCACGAGGACTGTCACCTCTAAAGCGTTGCCTGTCGAAATTCGCAACACTCTGTATCTAGTATACCTACCTACTATATGAATTACCTACATTTCTTGTAGACAGGAATTTATCAGTATGTCTTCAGTGTTTGTATCTATCCAAAACAATAAATAGAACTATTCGGCTAGTGAACAATTAACTGGAATTTACTTGAATGTTTGATAAGTACCTACTTGTATACTTTGTTTAGGTTGGGCAATAGCCTCAGAAGAACGAGATTGGAAGTATAGATTATCGATTTACTATGCCAAACCTCAAGATTCTGGAACGTTCACTTGTGCTACTCCACGGGGGATCACGAATAGCATTACACTTACGGTAGCAGGTAAACTCCTTAGTATAATTCAACATTCAAAGGCTTCATTTGATAATGTTTTTTCATTAGCTATCCATTGTGAACCAATATCTGTAACTGGAATACATATCAGCGTTCGAGTAGAAGGTACAAGACTGGGACACAAGGCTATATTTCAATGCCCTGTAGGATTTCGGGTTACTGGTGACTCCAATCTGACATGTCAGGCTTCAGGTAAATTATTGGAACGTTCTAAATCTGGGTTCAACCTTTGTCCACTATTTCAATGCTTCACATTCCCACAATGATGGAAAAGTATTCATAAATTAGATTGCATAGAATCGATACTGTCTTAAGGTTTTCCAGATGTACCATTCATGAATAAAGATAAATAAACTTCAAGCTACAGTCTGTCAAGAATTTTTTTTCGTTATTTATGAATATTTTGATCTGTTGAAAAATTTGAATAGATAATAAGTCTCTTGTTAATTTTTTTTACTAAAGATAATTTTCTAAAATGGATAATGAATTGAAATTTTGTAGGAAAATGGTCTGCTCCTGTGCCGAAATGCGACTTGGTGAAATGTGTAGCATTAGATGTCCCCGAAGGACTATCAGAACCACATCTGCAAGTGGAGGAACACAACAACAGTTGGGGGGGACGATCCGTATTCAGTTGTGCGTGGGGGTACAAGTTGTTGGGACCTCCAGGGATCGAATGCGAGCTTAGCGGAAACTGGTCTGGACCATTACCAAAATGTGTTCGTAAGTAGTAGGTACATACAGTGCCCGTCTAAAGTCCGTTCCCCTTACTGATATTTCAACAACTCGTTATATCGCAACGAAATTTGGAGGGCTCAAACAGGAGCGCCATTTTGAATTATTTTTTTTAAAAGAACATTCTATTATTCCGTATATTATTCCATTTTCGAAAGTTCCTCACCATTCTCAACAGTTCTAGCCACCACACTTTACTTCTAAATTTAATAGGTTTTCTAAATATCAACGTTTGAAAGTAATATTTTGGTCATTTCAAACCCAACAGAAAACTCTAATGTTGTTTTCAAATCAAGTTCAATTTGACAGTGAACAAGATGTCACCATGACGTTCTCATTTTCTAAAGCTAACTTGTTTGAAAGAAACATTCTAGTTTTTGGATGGGTTTGAAATTACCGAAATGTCACTTCTCAAACGTTAATATTTCGACAACTATTAACTTCAGGAGTGAAGTATATTGGTTAAAGCTGTTAAGGATTATGATATTGATATTTAGATACATAGGTGTATACGGAGGAAGGAGCCACTGCCTAGATGAAAAATTCTCAACAATTATTGTTATACAAGGTTTTCCTAAAAGGCAGCGTGATGAATCTTCCAAAAACTTGTAGTGGACGTGGGTACGGTCAACTAGCAATCAAATTCTTTTTAGAAATTTAATTCATTTAACGAATTATAAATTCTAATTCCCTAAGTCTTGGCAGGAGATAATTCGACGATTCATTTCTGTATTCAAATTAACAGTGCTGTTCCTATACCGCCACTTTCAACTACTACTAAGCGTCTAGTTATACGGGATGTCCCAGAGTTATAAATAAATAACAGATATATAAGATATGAAATTACATTTTTCACAGATAAGAGTAGATTCTGCTTCACTCTTCACTTCACTTCCCACTAGACAAATTTGGAAGCTATGTTGATGCAAGGTTGTAGCAATTACTATAATGGACGTTCAGCAATATTGCAAAAGTGGAGTTTATAAATGTAACGTTCCATTAATGTCACTTTGGCAATATTGCTGAACGTCCGATTCAATTATTGCTTCAACATTTCATCAACATAGCTTCCATCTTTGCTTAGTGGGTTCCTTCGAATAATTATTTTCTAAGAAGCTGATGAGTACATATATTGCATAGTCTGGCTTTTGAAATAAGATGACCGCAGGTAATTATGTATGCCCAGAGCACAATATTAATGTTGCGCCCATCAACCCGCTCTCAATTTAAAAACGAAGTGTCAACCGCTCGATTAAGTTCAAAAGAAGCAGTCAGACATATCGTTCATGAATTGATAAGATCGACGTCATCTGCACAGAACCGAACTGCTCAGATGCTCTAAACTCCGAGCACTGAACGCCTTCATCCTTTCCCTTTCATCCCAAGACTTCTTTGGCGAGTCAAACTATACTTACTCAAGTTATTGAATGATTCAGAAGTTATACTTTTCAGCTATTCAATGCTCTCCTCCAGTCTTACCAGTTAATGGACATCTGATTCAGTCTGAAGCCCCTGGTATGGACGGTGGTAGGTATGCTGTTGGAAGCCTCGTTCAGTTCGCCTGCACTGGGGCACATTATTTGGAAGGAGAAGCTAGTATTATCTGCACAGAAACCGGATTTTGGTCACATCCTCCCCCTTTTTGTAAGTCTATATCCACTTTTATCAGCTCTATATCACAAGAGAGATCAGTCAAAGAACTTATTCATTGCATAACGGTGTCCTGTAACATTTTGTGTTAAAAGTCAGATTATTGTATAAGTTACGTCACAGGTTATATTTTGATCATTTTAACTTCTGCTGTCGTTTCGTAACAAAGTTAGTTCAGAAGTTATAACAGACGGTAAATAAAACTATTGAGGTTTTTCGCTGTGTTATCATTGCATTGATTTGCGAAATTTCTAGTCAAGGTTCCATTCAATTCCTGCCAAGTAGTGACATTTAGAATGTACACGACTAGTTTGGCGTTTCGTACCTGAACATTTTCCTATCAGGAATCAATCCAGTGATTATTCTGAAAGCGATCAATATTTCAAAAATTACGGATAGTCTTCCATGCTCAGTGGAGTTGACTATGTTCATTCAGATCGATTATCATCAACTACAGTTTTTAACATTCAATTTAGTTTAGTACAGTCCCTCAATTACATTTTGCTACCTTATTTCCACTTGTTGCTGTGCATAGTGCCTAAAAATGTCTTTGTCATAACTTTACATTGTTGTTGTTCTAAAATTGTTCTATCCGTCATTCGGTTGCCCCCTTACGAGCAACCCTCAGAAGTCTTCGAAAGACTTGTGCGAGCAAGGAATGACGGGGGCCTTACCTTTTAACGTGTGATCCCAAACACTTTCTTAGGCCATCAGAAAAAGTCTGCGTTCGTGGGTCTCGAACCCACGATCGATACCTCGACGTGAATCGATATTGAGCATCGAAGCACTGAGGTACGCCGGCCTTAAAATTACATATTGGTATATAATTCCACTTATTCATGAATTGTAGGAGCATATCGAGCATAATCTCTCCTTCCGTTTGGCAAAATGGCAAAGTTCTATTCGTCTTCTTACTTTTTTAAGTCTTATTACCCAGCAAACATCATCGCGCGTGCCTTTAGACGCCCTCCGAAAACTGCGGACAGGCAACATCAGCAATCATGATACATCATCGGCCCGGCTAGCCCGTGTCGCACCGGCCGCTAGAAGGCCGCCGTACTATCTGCCGACACTATTCGGTTGAAAAAAAAAAAGATATATAGTCCGGAGTCGGACTCGAACCGGCTTGATCGGATAGATCCTATCCAATGTCAGACGCTTATGCCACTAGACTACTGCGTAACTTGGAAGATTTTGATATGAATGCATCAGTCAACAGAATTGAAATAGTACAAGGCTTCAGTTATATATCATACGATTTACCTATCATGACTTAGTTGATTCGATGACGTAGAATAGGTGTAGCCTGATAATGTTACAGCCACATTTCTTTTCCAGTTTTTGATCTATTACTGACGTGAATCAAATATTTGTCAAATATATAGGTGAAGAACCGAACTTCGCATTGGTTCATCATTGTTATAATAAAGGCGAACAGATATTTAGCTCAAAATCATTACCATAAAAATGAAATTTTAGACAACGAGTATAATCATTGTTATATATATAACATATTATTCTTGAGGTCAGAGGATAGTATTTGCTGTGATCAACCATAAAAAATGCATAAAAGGATTCTGGAGATATACTCTGTTATTATGATGCTACAATATATAGTAGATTATTTATAAAATGGAGTTTGTCTCCAGGGTTGAATCGACAGCGGCACGATTGTGACATATCTATAACGGTCAATTACGGAATGGATGACATACAAACATAATAAATAGGCGTATATCAAGCCGATGCGGCACAATCAATGTCATTCGAACATTTGCCGATATCGGTTTGCCGCTGCCGACACATATCCGCTGCTGACAGCGATGGCCCGGCTATTTACCGCCTATTCGTGTTTGCTGGGTAATGACCTACCATTATTTTAATTCTCCATAATGGTCGTAGATACGTTTATTTTCATCAATATGTTGCAACTTATGTGATTTTTTTATCTCCTAAAGTAGTACTGCAATTTACATTTTCCGGAAATTTTATAACATCAATGTGCCTGCCTTTTATTCATTTAACTAAGTATAGTATGACTTATTATTGCATTGCAGTCTTGTGAGTTTCTTTTCCAATGAGACTGGAGATGGGTTTATATATATATATATATAGTTTCTCAATTTATATTGAAACTTGTGGAGATGACTCAGAGTTTTACTTCCTGCTATCAATATTTTATTCATTATAAAAATTCATGATTTATTTCTCGAAAGTTGCAATGTATCTATTCAACTTGTTTGAGTTTCCGTAATGATTTGGAACACAGTTCAGATATTCCGGATTGAATTGATTAGTCATAGTTATTTCACGATTTATAGTTACGTTTTGATTTTCTAATATATTTTATTTTCATTTTGAATGGGTTGGGGATCCATTTTTGGGAGCAATTAAATAGCTACAATGTTGGAGTCAGCTGAAGACAAATTATCAAAAAGGTTTTCAAGTGACATTAAACACAATTCACTTACGCTCTGAGCAATCGTTTGGTCATTGTCTTTTTGCAGAAGGGGGCGATGGTGTTCCTCTTCTCGGAAAAAGATGGTAATCTTCCACAGGTCTTATAGGTAGACGGGGTGTCCTGATTAAAAAGGAGCCTCTTTGTTTTCGATACAACCACGTACTTTTCACAAATGTTGAATTACCGACTGCGCAAAATAACTTTTGAGACCGAAAGACTTTTGGTACGACTGTTTGAAAATAATTAAATAAATAGAATAGAATTATGTTTATTCGCAATACATGTTACCTAGTGTATAAGAAGTGTTATTAATATATAAACCTAATCAAATGAATATCTTATTTTATGAAATTGAGGTAATTATATATGAATACAATAATAATCAAATGAGAATTGAAAATTGAAAGAGGACATTAACAGAATGAACATATAAATAAAAATTACAGAAGCTAGATAGGCTAGCTTATAACGTGATATGGAAATAAATAATATGGCTTATTCGATCTTGTTATTTCTGGTACAATCAATACATAGATGGAAATCAGCAATATATGTCATAGTCTTCATTTACTTCAAATCCACGAGAAATTTCATTTTGAAAATTGAACAAAAAATGTTAAAAAAATAAGGTATGCCAATTCAGGGCTATTGAAATCCTAGTGGCTCTGTCGTCCACATGAAAATTTGAAAGAATACCTATTCTATATAATACGTAAAATGAAAGCCTGAAATATCCAATTTACGATACAAATGCTTATTGAAATAATACTGGTTTTCAATTAGTATGATTTGAAACGTTGAAACTATTGTCTAGCTCAGCATCTTCTTCTTAGGCGATATAGGGATACAAGCTGCTTCAGCGGAATTCCTGGGATAGGTGGTGACATGATTCACTTTACAATGTCTCTTGAATCAACTCCCGGAATATTGATATTATTCATACGGATTGTGTATCCCTGTTATTGTCCCCTACTATCTCCTTTTATTTTTAACTTAATTTGATTCATTATATCTGCACAGGTAGACCAAGATGTTCCTATATTGGAGAGCCTGAAAACGGTTTCATTGCACCAACGAAAGTCGCATACGAACCAGGGGATGAAATGAAAATAATCTGCAATCCAGGATTTGAAAATACTTCTGATACCAGTCTGAAATGCCTACCAGATGGAAAATGGTCTTCATTTCTATCCTCCTGTGTTAATAGCAGCAATATAACCGACTTTAAGGATATTATCGATTAGTGTATACTATATAAAATAGTCCAATGGTAGGATATGAAAGATGATGAGTCTAATTCAATTTTCATGTTTTCATTGAATGGCATTTGGCAAAATGTGATGAAACTGTTGGTGTGCTAGGTTTTAAACAAAGAAACAAAGAAACAAAGAAACAAAGAAAACAAACAACTATGGACTATTACCTCCACTGATACAACTATATTCTCGACTAGTGCCAATCGACGAATATTGGATTATATATACCTATATCTGTTAGAAGGATAAATAAAAACCTGCGGAATCTTAAGGTATGAATTGAGTCCAGGTGGATTTTTCCCAATTTTTAGGCATAATGCAGTATATGTCTTGATTCCATTGCATTGTACTAGCACCCAAACATTGAGGTTTTTTTTCCAGGAGTTGAATTCACACTCATTTTTGGGAAATTGAACAATATTTTCATCTATTTCATTTCCCCGAACAATTTTTTTGTCATGAAAAAATATTGAGGGGGAATTCTCACTCTCAACCTCTATTTTGAAGAATACAGAAACATATTCCGCCAAACTGTCACAAGTATGTATTGTCTCCCACCAAATAGGAGATGCACATGCTGGATAATTCATGTGATTCTGATCAGAACATCATTGGGTGAAAATCAGAAAAAAATAATTTGACATGATCGAAATAAGCTATTTGATTCTGAATAGGAAAACTACTTTTTATAATAATTTCATTTCATGTTTCTCAAAAATAAAAATTTCTAATTGGAAAACAGTTCTCATCACCCTATCCCTAAAATATAATTAAATGGTGATTTCCAGGAATAACTTGGAAATATAGCTTTTGATGATGTCGATGCAGAACTAAGCAATGGAACTAGAGGAATAAATTACTCGACAGCAAATACATTCGAGTCAAACATAACAATCACGATATTTCATAATATAATAATTTCTATACCTGCAATTCATTACCGAAAAGATTGAAAAATGTTCAAGATTCAAGAAGATCTGAAATCAATCCTCAAAAATACTTGGCCAGAAAAAATTATCGAATTAGTAATAAGTACCTAGTAGAGGGGCTACAGGGCTACCAGCCCAAGCCAATCAGAGACCAGCATTTGGTTGGAGGCCACACCCACTAAAAACCAGCGCGAAATTCAAATTATTCATACGACGTCACGTCGCCATCGTGAATAAATGAATTAAAAAAAGCTGTCACCGCTGGGGGAAATTGAACCAGGGACCTTTGCATTATAAGGCAGCGTATATACGCACTGTGGTATTCCGACCTCCGTGATATTTCAATTATTTTAATGCTATTCAAACGGGATATCCATCGATGACGCGCGCTTATCTTTGCAACGGATCCATCGAGGTAGAGTGAAGCGAGAGATGCATTCCAGAGATAAGAAACTTCGAGTCGAAAATAATATCCATCGCAGGCGCGCGCTTATCTTTGCAACGGATCTATCGAGGTACAGTGAAGCGAGAGATGCATTCCAGAGATAAGAAACTTCGAGTTGAAAATAATATCCATCGCTGGCGCGCGCTTATCTTTGCAACGGATCTATCGAGGTAGAGTAAGGCTCGAGCGCTCGGCGCTGCAACGTTGTCGGACGTATGTGTTTGGATGTTAATATTGTTACATTATTGTGTGTGGCAACGCTGTCTCGCTTCATGGCGTTCGAAGATCCAGCAAAGCGAGAGATCCCGTAGAATGATAAGCGCGCGCTCGTATTGGAAACGAATACTTGGATTATTTATTTATTTTAAAGTGGGTGACGTCATGCCGTTACCTTCATAGCGTTCGAAGTTCCAGCAAAGCGAGAGATCCCCTTAGAATGATAAGCGCGCGCTCGTATACCCATTCCTCAAACTGTGACTTTAATGACAATAACAAGATTGAATTTTCATATACAGGGCGTTTGAGTTAATGAAGATTGAAAAAAAATATATACAGGGCAGCCCATGGGGGTAAAAGAATACGAAAACGAAGATAAATAATCTATTTATTTAAGTAATCCTTTTCCACAAAAATGACATGCCTCTTGAGAAGATGGCGGTCCATCCCAGTGTGTGGTCCAATCGGGACGATTATAATGAACGAAGCATGGCAGTTTGATTTGTAGGTTAAAGTTGCTGCGATATTCTTGAGGAAGTTTGTGCCACACCCTTAATAGCCCATAAGGATCTGCATATTCAATGAGACATTCTACTGGAATGTACTGCAATTCTTGTTCAGTGAATTTCGTCAAAGTCAAAGCGGGAGATTTTATAAACTCCAATAGCACAGCTATTTCAGACTTCATGATTTTTCGAGCAGAGCTAAAATATTTCAGATGCTACTAGTCTCGCGTCAAGTTGTAGACTGATGAAATGAAAAAAAACTAGTCACATTTTTCACAACATTTTATTCAAATCAGACATAACCTCATTTTTACAATAATATAGATATTCTCTGAGAGCGTTACTAGACATGCTATCACAAACATCACAAAATCCAGATATGAGCTCTTCCGCACCCAAATCAGTCAGGCTATTTCTAATCCAATCGGCTATAGTATTCAAAATGTTCTGATAATACATGGAAAAGTCCAATTTGTTTATTAGCGCAACTCGATGTGAAACAACACACGTTTCAGCCCTCAAAATGTCTGCAACATCCTCTTCCAACAATTCGAATGTAATGTGGTATTTGGTGAGTGACAACATTTTGACACCATCGCAAACGAATTTGGTTATGGTGATATAGTCTCCGCAGGTGGTAACGGCAGGATCATATTCATCAATGAAACAGGGCAGGGGTGCTTCAAAAAAGTCTTGTTGTACCTTATACAGCGAATCGATGAAGGTGGCCCATTCATATGTGGAGAACGAAATTTTCGCTGGATGGAAGGGTTTCTTCAGGATGATGCTCGGACTAAACTGTCTAGCTGGACTAAGTCCGCACTGAATCATGTAGGTGGACAACTGGAACGATGAAGTCAGCAGGAGGTACGATTCGGCTTTCGCTGCTTGCTCAATCATGTCCAAATATGTATCAACGTCACCATAATAACCCATCATTGCCAATGAACTAGTACTACCGTTTTCGGAAAGCACTTCACTAGATGAATAACCAGAGTCTTCACTCATTGTTCTCGAACTGATGTGTTGAAAGTTTCAGTCCTCATTATTTATACCACCACTGCCAACACGTCACAACATCCGATAATGGTTGTTATTTGTCAGCGATCGACGTGAAAGGCCCCTCACATCCATTGAATTTGTGCTAGTTTTCCATATGATTACATTATAACTTGTTGGTGGAATCAATCCAGCTGTTGTGTGTATCATCGAATCCTAGCCATTTGACAAACACCTTTTTACCCCTCTTCCTTAAAACTTTTTCCACTAGATAGATGTCAGGATTTATAGTTTTTTGCAATTCTTCAGGATAAAAAGCACCTTTGATCGGAGTACCATGCAAATCTTCCAAGATGTATGTAGTAGGTTTCGTAATACGAACTTTTACGATTTTAAATAGTTCAGTAGTCCAATTTGGTGTATAATTCTTTTCGAAAACATGTTTGGCTTTGCTTATTCTCACAATGTCACCAACGTCGAATTTTCTGGTTCCAGCAATTTTGATGTGATTGTACGTGGATTTTAAAATATCATGTTCGTTGGCTTTGGTGACGTCACTGGGCTTGCATCTTATTGTCGTATGTTTCGTGTTATTATAATTTTTCGTGATTTCAGGCAGGACATCTATCCAACGGTATGAGCCATTCAAACTAAAGTACTTGTATAGTTTTTCCTTCAATGTCCGTATAACACGTTCAGCAATGGCTGCCTTCATTATGGTATACGTATGATAATGGTTGATGGAGAACTTTTTCATCAGACTTTGAAACTTTTCGTTGTAGAATTCGGTACCTTGATCGGTTTGCAAATTCTTGGGAATTCTGGTGTTGCCAGCATGTGATAGGATATCTGCAAATGCTCGAGCGATTTCAGCACCAGTTTTTGATTTTAGTGGTCTAGTCCATAGGTACTTGGAAAAACAATCAATCACGACCATTATCAGCTTGTGATCCTTATTAACAGAGGCATAAGGTCGCATTTCGGCTAGATCCATTTGCCATAAGTCATCCAAACCTTTGATGATAATGCGGCGCCTTGGAAATTTTTTCCTAGCAGGTCTATGTAATTCATTGACGAGTTGGATTTTTTCTTTAGAATGCGACATATTGACTTCGTTGGATTAGGAGTTTATATGATGGGTTTCACACAGGAGGCTTCCTTTTTGGTGGCGGTGGTGTTGTCGTAGATTTTGGAGTGATGGCAATCTTGGTCAGATCTTTTTTCATTTGATCAATGACATCAGCAAGCTGGCGTTCTTTATCACGGCTGTGTTGTTGCTCAGCCTTCAAATCGTGCAAACTCTTCACAGTGTTGTCAATCTTATCGACAAGTTCTAGAATATTTTTCACATTCAAGTCGATGTCGCTTTCGAGTTTTGGTAGAGAGTTGTTGCGAAGCTGCTCCACATGTATGTTGATCTTGTGCACTATGCCAGACAACTGAACAAAGTTTGTATTGTACGTTGCCAGTTTCAGATCATGTACATCCACTCTCTTCCTTTCTTCGATTATTTCATTGCTGAAGCCAGCAAGGTAATTTCGGATTTTTTCACCGTAATTATCGAAAGCAATCTTGAAATCTAACTTTATTTGCGATATAACTTCATCCACATATTGTTTGTTTGCAACATCAGCGGCATCTGTTGGCAGTTTTACGTTACACATCTTCAAATGACCAACATCAATATCACCGGTTGGAGTATGTGAAAATCCAGATCTGACTGTCACCATCTGAGCTGAGCGTGGAAACGAACCACGTCCGAATTTGTCGAGACTCATTATGCTAATGACTAAAGTATTGTACGTTATCGATAATGGTAGACACTTTGCCTCGCCAATTATTAGCCCCTACACTCATAGACATGCCATGAAAGTGTCACGGAACTGTCAAGGAAGTGTCACGGAACTGTCACAGAAGTGTCAAGGAAGTGTCACGGAACTGTCACGGAACTGTCACGGAAGTGTCAAGGAAGTGTCACGGAACTGTCACGGAAGTTGTCATGGAAGTGTCACGGAAGTATCACAGAAATGTTACACATGTTTTATTATGCCTGCCTCTTCTAATTCATTCAAGATGGCAACAATCTCGTTATCGTTTGATGTATTTCCGGCTTGCTGTGATGCAATGAGCAACTTCAATCTATCTACCAATTCGTTTGGATCATCCCAATACATGTACTCGATAGGTGCTGTGCTGTATGTCAACTTCAAACCACGACCACTGGAATTGGATCTGAACATTGGACGAATAATTTCTACGTATTTGAGTCTAGAGGAAGACTTCATACGTCCTGCAGAATTCAGATGAGCTTTGGTGAGCAAGAGTATTTGCTTGTATGGGTTCGTATCATCTTTGGCAAAGGATGGATCATTATAGAAGAGTAATTGATAGAGGCCTGGGGTGCCACGGAACCGAAAGCCATCAAGAAGTATATCTCCAGTTCTTCGATGGAAATTCATTTCTTTTCCGTTGAGAGACCATTTCGATGTTACTGGATCATATTTGGGACCATAAACCGTATCGATATTTTCATCATTTGTCCAGTATTCAGTCAGATATTTTTGAGCCATCGCAGGATACTGATCAACGTAATCATGTATTGCAGCCGGTGAGATATTTTCACTATCTACAAAAAGTTCATCATCAGCATCGGCATAACCATCCTCATCATCATCTTCAGTATGCCCAGCATTATCAGCCACATCCATCATAGGTATGAAATTAGTTTGATTCAAATCCGATTGCTCCCTCTCCACCTCCCCATCCTCTTCCTCCTTCTTCTCCTTCTTCAACCCCAACGATTTTGCTCTGCTTCGCTTGATGTTTGAAAGCGTTCCATCGAGTTTTTCTTTTATTACCTTGGACGTGGTGGCAATTTGTTTCAAAGGTGATGTCAGTGGTTGGAATATTTTCTGTAACGCATCATCATCCT